TTCTGAGCAGAGCTGCTTAAACATCGTCCGAAAGGAGCGAGCACTGCAACCCCAGAGTTTTTCTCTTTCACTCAGAAGATCGCAAAGCCATCTCAAGCTACTGCAGGTAGGGGCGTGATCAATATACACAAACTGATGCCTCCCAAAAGTACGACGGTTTTTAGGGGCCTGAATGCGCACAACTGCGCCAACGCCAGACACGAGTAAGGCGTCAGGCAGGCTGACATCACACTTTCGCAGTTTGAAGACCTCCCCCGGCCGGAGAAGGCCAAAAAAGGCCAGCTCCAAGCACACTGAGAAGCGATCCCACAGGAAGGCTTCACGGCCTGACTCGCAACCTGCATGCGCACGTGCCGCTATGACAAGCGCACACAGGATGGACAACGGCAACGGGACACGCACGTTGACTTCCACAATGTCTTCCCAAGCTTGGACACTTTGCCAGGCCCGATGCAATCGTCGGCGGTGCTGTGGGTAAAGGTGCTGGACAGCTAGCAATCCATGCTTGGCGGTGCTTAAATGCTGCTTTCCACACTTGCGGTAAACCCAATTGACGAAGTGCTCCAAAGAACTGTCGAGCTCATCTAGGTTCTGGGCAAGTGTGTCCAGCCGCTTGTGCGAACGGCCAATGAATTTCAGCACTGCGTCAAGACCTGCGCGAAGGCGCCTCTTGTATGCGGCCGAATACTGGCTTCCACGTAAAGCCATGCGAAGAACAAACAACTACCAATTATGTAATTACTACTCACCGTGAATTAGGACGAATGAGCCGAATGCGGCAGACAAAACGGTGCACTATGGGACTACGCAGCGCTGGGCGATTACACGGCTGGCAAGGTAGGCACACCGGCAAGAGGTGTCTCTTTCACGCTCTTGTGTGAAGCAAGCGGCAGCATGCTTTTCTGGTCTGCTGAAGACAGGAGCGCGCGCAAGCCTGCAGGCAAGTCCTGTCGCAACGGGATGCTTAACCCTCGGGAAGGATAATCGGCTGGGTTTGCTTTGGTAGACACCCAAACATTGATCAGACACTTGGACCCGGCTACACTGTGAGCCATGGCCCTCCTAAGCCACTGATTGAGTTCTACCGACGAGGACCTGCCCTTGGCGAAGGCGCCTACAACTACGCGGGAATCGCAAAGGTTGATTATCCGCTGGCCACTGGCAGTTTGGCACGCGCGGTGTCTTATCTCTTTCAGCAACACTTTCATTTCCTGAATGTTGATATGGCCTACCTTTGCAAACTGCGATTTCTCAGTGACGCGCCAGCGCCCACATTGCAACGCTTCTTCAAGCTCAGCTGGAGCCGACTGCATTTCACTACTGGGCATCAAACGCCCGGAAGACCAGTCCAAACGAACATGCTCACCCCGGTGTACCCCGTACCTATAGGCAAGCTCAACTAGCTTCGGAGGCATGCGGGCCTGCGCGCGCCCGGCTCCAGTGGGAGTCGCATCGGTAGCCGAGACATGTTCTGCCAATGGCCAACGAATGTTGCTGTGCGCAAAAGGCAACAAGAGGCCAGCAAAACAAAGTTCCTGCTTGACGCTTTCACAAATGGGTGAGAGCTTCCTGTCCTGCATCCGCTCAATCCGCTTGTACACCCGATTGAAAACACACATCAGCTCACGACGATGAGTGAAAGGATGGACATACAGACCAACAAGTTTCTGCAGGACTTTCTTTGAACAACGCTTCAACGAGCAAAACTCGGCGGTGGCTTGAAGCAAGTGCCTAAGCTTAGTGAGAGGCGTTCCTACTCTGCCAGACTGTGAACACACACTGGTGCCCCAGGCCACAAACGAGTGCTTAAAGGTGAAAGCTTTTTTGGCGCTCACAGGTACATGCAACGAGGCGTAATGGGCACGCGAGTCTCTCATGATGCTCTCGTCTCTAAGCGTTCTCCGTGCAGACTTTCGGCTTCTTTTGTACTTTTGAATGACAATATGGTCATCAATATACAACCCTTCCCAAGTGTCACCTGAAGGCACTACTTTCCCATATGCGAGACGCTCGCGTGGCCGCATGCAGTTGGCCTCCTCTAGGATGGCTTCGTGAGTGGCTTGCGCAATGCACACACCGTTTAGGTCTCCCATAGGCACGGTTTTCAACCCCAAAAAGTACTTACGACCCTCTAACGCCCCATATTTCACAAGCTGCTCACCTGGCAACGGGTTGCCCACTGCGTTCCGGCAAACCCAGGCGTGCCTGTGCTTAAGCAAGTGGAAATAATTGGAGATATCGTCCCCTGAGCCTCTGACAGACTCGCCATCGTGCAGAATCAGCTGGCACAACATACACCCTTGGGGCAACTCGGCCCACTCAAGCCTATCCTCAGTGCTGTTTTGGGGGCGTCTGTCAGTAATGATCCTATCAGTCTCGGGCTTATGGGGCACGGCGAAGAAACCTGCAGTGATAGGTTTTCCTGAAGCATCTTTAAGGACGTGTTCTTCAGGGATTAAGAGGGCTAAGTTCCTATCCAGAAGCTCTCTTGCAAACAGGACTTCATCTCCCGCTCGCATTAGATGGCACGCCTTTGGCCGCTTGCAGAACTCTTCACGTGGCAAGGGCACCCGCTCGCCCATCTGCAAAAACTGCTGCAACTTCTCACCGCGAAGATGTTTGGATGGGTCAATGACGGCCCCTTCCTCAGGCAAACTTATCCTACCAAGGACAACTGGACGGGCAACTTTAGCGAGCTCAGACAACGGTAAAAAACTGTGTGAGTGTTCAAATGCACGTGCATGTTGCAGGTGTTCAAGCACTGAAGCAACGCCTCGATTTGGGCTGTCATCAACCTTCACTCGACAGAAGCGCCAGATATCATTGAACAAATTAAGAGCATGCTTATCATGGATTGGCAACCACGCTGCTTGGGCACAGCGACGTGCTGCACTCCGGCAGGCTTGGGGGCTAACGGGGCAACCGACTTCGAAGTAGTTAAACAGACCCCAAACAACCACTACCCAATCCCTGGCTAGCAGCATGCCTCGTCTCCGCTTACGGTTCCCCGACACTGAAGAGAGAACTGTGGTCACTTCCATGACAGGCAGCGGCGACGGGAACAAACCTTGCAAACAGTTCTTGGACGTCTTACTGCGTCCGGGCCCAGACTTCCGGGAAAAAGCCTTTAGCATTCGCAAAAACCTACTGAAGGCTCCGCGCGACTGCCAAGCTTGCACTAAAAAACTCTCTAACGAGCCCGCGGCTGTCTCAGCGGGCTTGGTCGGTGAGCAGCTGCTGCTCAACTCGTCGAGGCTCCGGCTCCACCGGTGCCCCTGCCTCTGCCTCGGCCCTTTGGGGGCCGCCAGACTTTGTCGTTCTTGTCGGCACCCTCGGCTTCCTCCTCCTCGTCGTCCTTGGGCTTCCAAGACAGCTGCTTCGACCGCTTTTCCAAGTCCTGCACTGCACGCAAGTAGTCCGCGGCGGCCTCCAAGTCCTGGGCCTCGCCGCCCCACTTCTTGCGGGCCAACGGGTCTTTGAGCGTCGTGATCAACCATCCCAACTCCCAGTTTCCTCCGTCGAGAGCAGTTTGGTGCAGACACCGCAGAGTTAAAACAGTCATCAGCGCCGCGCCCTCTGGATCGTCGTTCAGGAGCTTCTTGAGAATGTGGGAAGCTAGGTGATGCATGCGATACAAGCCCTTCTGCCGGCCGAAAGGGATACGCTTCGTGTAATCCCACAGGTTGTACGGGGTTTCGTCTGCCCCCAGCTCTTCTTCGACCTCGGCGATGTATCGCTTGACATGCCTCATGGGCTTCCTCCACATCCTTGTGGAGTTCTTTCTGTACCTGGCGAGGGCCCTTGCAGAACCGCGCAAGCCCTTGTCCTGGCTGCTCACTCCGCTGCTCGCGGAACTGCTGCTGGAGGAGGCTTTCCTGCGGCTCTTCTTTTTCCGGCCGCGTCGCTTCTTTGAGCTGTCCTTGTCGCTGGCGAGAATGTGCTGCAGAGCGATGGCCTGCAGAGGGTCCACATTTCCGCCCTTCTTCCCAACCAGCTGCATCAGGTCTCTGACTTCGAAACTGGCTTTGGCGGGCTCGTCGCTGGAGCTGCTGTCTCCACTCTCCTCGACACCTTTCTTGGCAAACACAGCGTACTTCGCCTTTGACCGTTTGTCGCGCGCCTTCCGCACGCTTGCGGTCTTGTCGCCGCTGCCACCAGAGACGGGCTTGTTCTGCTTGGACCTCTCGAGAAGCTTTGCTAAGAAGGCGTCTGTCTCCGGATCGTCCGCGTCCGGATTGCTTGAACTGCTCTCCTCGTCGTCTTCTACCAGAACTCGCGCAGAAGAACGCGCTCCGGCTGGATGCGTCTCCTCCAGCTCCTCCGATGCCGTGGCGAACATGGCATCCTGGTCTGCAGCTGTCAACAAACTGCGGCCTTTCTCTAAGAGCATCTCGCGATTCTGCTCCAAAGCCAGGTAACCATCCGGCGGCTCTTCTGATCGGACTTGCTTTTGCATTCCTTCTACCAGAACGTAGTGCTTCTCGCCCACTTCGTAGGTGTTGACTTTGCCTTTCAATCCAGCCAGTTCTGCTTGGTCTGCTCTGGCCATCATGATCCACCCACTTCGGGCCTTTTTCAGCACAAGACACTGCCGCCATCGTGGCTCTTTGAAGCCCTCCCCCAGGAGCAGAAAGCTTCTGGGGGTGCCCGTAAAACTTCCAGCCATGGCGGCAAGAAGCCTACACGACTGCTGTACTTGAGGCTGCGTTT